TTGAAGGATAACTTTGCTTGATACAATATTATTGGATGGCAATTCAATTCTTTGAGCACTTGGAAAATGTAGTTCCACTCCCTTTTGACATATATAATTTTTATTAAGAAGTCTGTTGCCAGGCAAATCGGAGCTCCTTTATATTATATTTGTTTCTTTTATCTTGCTACTTTTACATGTCTTTCTCTGTCCTTGACCTTTGAGAATGTAATTATTATATGACATGGGCTAGTTTTATTTGAAGAAAATGTGTCTGTTTGGTGTCCTCTGACCTTCCTATACTCATATATTTGTATCTTACTCAAGTTTTGGAAAGTTTTCTGTTGTTATTTCTTTGAATAAGCTTTTTACCCTTTCCCCCCCCCCCCCCCCCCGGCAGGGGTAGCGACTCGAGATGGGGCTGGGTGCTTCAGCCCAGGCGGGGGCCACAGCTTTGAGGTGTGGGCAATGGGGACCCCCGCAGGGCAGCAGCTCCGGGTGGGACTGGATGCTTCAGCCCTGGTGGGGGTCCTGAGCCCCGAGGCACGGGCCTGGTGGGGCACCCCAGCCAGAATGGAGCCTGTAGCTCTGAGGGCGTTGCCTAGGGCCTCCTTGGGTGGTGGCGTCTTGAGATAGGGCTGGGCGCCTCAGCCAGGGCAGGGACCCAGAGCTCCGAGGGGTGGGCACCGGTGGTGGATTTGGGCCCCACTCGTGGAGCGGACATGGAGGGCCTCCTCATGCTGTGGCGGCCTGAGAGGGGGTTGGGCACCCCAGCCAGGGAGGGAGTTGACCACAGCTGTGTGCCACGCATGGCAGTGTAGCCAGTGAAGGAACCCTGCTCTCCACAAGGCAGTATCCAGGGTCTCCACAGACGGCCGTGGCTTGGGACCCGGTGAGGCGGTGTAGCAAGGGAGGGAGGTGGGAGCTCCACGTGGTCTGGGCCCCCGGACGCCGGACCAGTGCGGCTGGAGGGCGTCGAGGGATGGGGGATGGGGTAAGGGAAGTAAGCGTCTTTATGGGAACTCACTTTCGGAGAATCTCAAAGTCCCACCTGTGCTGTCACCATCTTACCAGAACTCCCTCTTTGCATATTTTTAGAGCAGGTCTACTGGCAACTTTTTCATTCTTCATTTATATGAAAATGTATTTATTATTTTGCATTAATTCCTGAAAGGGTGTTTTTACTGGATATAGAATTCTGGGTTGACAATCTTTTTCTTTCAGCACTTAAAAAATATAATACTTCTGTCTTTTGACTTCCCTGGTGTCTGATGGAAAGCCTACCGTTTTTTGGATCATTGTTTATGTAAAATATCTCACATCACTGCATGCTTTCAAAATATTTTTCTTTATTTTTTGTGTTTAACAGTTTGATTATAACATGTCTCTTGGTGGTTCTCTTTGAGTCTATTCTAAGTTTGCTACAAATTTGATTTTGAAAATGTATCTCTTTCACCAAATTTGGGAAGTTTTAAATCATTATTTTTTTAAAAATTGTGCATTTTTTCCCTTTTGATTTAGTGAATCTAATGCTATGAGTGTTAAAATTATTTTAAAGATTCAGTTCCCTTTTTTCTTTTTAATCTTTGCTGATTGTTCCTCAGATTAAATAATTTCTGTTTAAATTTACTGATTCTTTCCTCTATTGACTTCATTCTGCTATTGAGTCCACTTAATGAGGGATTTTATTTTTATTTTTTGTTTATTTTTTGTGGTCATTTTATTTTCTAAATCATTTGGCTCTTTTTTCTAGTTCTTTTCTTGTTTATTTACTTATTTTTGCAGAGAATGTCTATCTTTCCATTTATTTTAAGAGTGTTTGCTTTTACTTCATGGAACTAACTATTAATAGCTCTTTTAAAGATTTTGTTTGATAATTCTAATTCTGTGTCATTTCGGAGTCAGTATCTGGGTACCACATGAAGTGGAGATTTAATCCATATACATAATCCATGATTTTCCCAGCTCTTTTCCCTTCTTTTTTTTTTTTTTAATTATTTTTTATTTTAAAGATGTGGGGTACAATTCAGAATTATTTATGTAAGTGGACGACATCATACAGGTAAAGTTTGGGCCTCCCTTTGGTTCCCTCTTTGCTTGGTTTGAGATCCGGTACCTTTATTGATGTTGTGTCCCCACCCCCATCTGGACAATATCCTAATACTGCCAATCCCTGTATTATAGTATTATGGTAAATGTTCAGATTCCACTTATGAATGAGAACATATGGTACTCTGTTCTTTGTTTCTGTGAGAGATCACTCATAGAATCTAAATCCATCAAGGAAGTCCATATGTTTGTCCTTCTTTATAGCTGTGTAATATTCCATCATGTATATGTGCCACATTTTTGTTATCCAGTCCAGTTTCAATGGGCAGCACAGTTGGTTCCATGTCTTTGCTATTGTAAATAATGCTGCAACAAACATGTGCTGTAGGTATCTTTTTTTTTGTAGAATGATTAAGTTCCTCCGGGTATAGTCCCAGTATGGGCCTTATGGAAGGCCAATTTCTAGTTCTTTTAGAAATCTTCACATGCTTTTCATAGAGGTTGAACTAGTTTGCATTCCCACCAACAGTGCAGAAGCTGTCCTTTTTCTCTGTATTCTCACCAGCATCTGTTTTGTTAATGATGGCCATCCTTCCTGGGGTTAGATGATATCTCAATGTGGTTTGCATTTGCATTTATCTGATGATTAGTACTTATTCATGTATCTGTTGGCTGCCCATATGTCTTCTCTTGAGAAGTGTCTATTCTTGTCTTTTGCCCACTTTTTAATGGGGTTATTTGTTCTTTCCCTTTCAGCATGTTTGAGTTCCCTGTAGATCCTAGATATTAGGCTTTTGTGAGATGTACAATTGGCAAAGATTTTTTCCCATCCTGTGGGCTCTTTCCTCACTCTCTTGATGGTTGCTTTTGCTCTGCAGAAGCTTTTCAGCTTAATGAAGTCCCACTTGTCTGTCTTATCTCTTATGAAATGGACATCTGGGGTTTTCATCAAAAACTAGTTGTCTATACCAATTTCTGTAAGGATGTCTCCAGTGTTTTCTAAGATTCTTATAGTCTGAGGTTCTCAGTTTAGGTCTTTGATCCATTTAGAGTTGATTTTTGTGAATGGTGATAGGTAGGGGTCCTGTTTCAATCATTTGCATGTGGTCAGCCAGTTTTCCCATCACCATTTACTGAATAGGTTCTCCTTTCTCCAGTGGTTGTTTTTGAAGGCTTTGTTGACAATGAGTTGGTTGAGAAATTGAGATGTTTGCTTCTAGAATCTCTATCTTGTTCCATTGGTCCATATGCCTGTTCTTGTACCAATACTAGGCCACTTGGATTATTGTAATAGTTTTTTTTTTTCAAAAAAAATGACCTTTTGTGTACTCACTCCTCTGCAATGACCACTCTGTTACAAATATGGCTTTCTTATTAATTATATGTTTATGTTAGTTTTTGCACAGTGTTTTAGATTATATTTGTTTATATAATCTATAAAATGTGTTGTTCATTGCTTAAAGATGAACAGGATTGTATAATCTGTGTATGAAAGAGAGTGTGTATGTATGTGCCTTATTCTATTTTATGCTTTTATAACAGAATATCAAAAACTGGATGTTTTGTAAAAATAAAAATGCAAATTTTTTGTTTCTAATAATTCTGAAGGCTGAGTAGTCCAAAATTGAGGGACTGGCTTCTGCTAAGGGTTATCTTTCTGTATTCTCCCATGGCAGAAGGTGGAAGGACAAGGGAGGGTAAGAGAGCAAAAGAGGGCCAACTTATGTTTGTTATAAGGAATCTACTTCCACTACAATGAATCCACTTTTCTGATACAGCCTGTACTCTCAAGCACCCTCTTTGTTTAATCACTTCTTAAAGGCCTCACCTCTTAAAATTGTTACAAGGGCATTCAATTTCAACATGAATTTGAGAGGTCACAAACATTCAAATCATAGCCTTAATGGAACATCATATATACAGAATAAACATAATTATAATTGCAATATTATTAAATAATATTATAACTTTTATATCAATATAATTAAATCAATGTTGATTATATTAATTGAATTATATTAATTTAACTTATTATATTAATTATATTAAATCAATTATCAAATTATCTCTCCCTTTTTAAAAAATGTTCTTGGCCATTTTTTTTTGCCACTTTGCTTTTTTATAAAAATGTTAAAATGAGTTTATCTTTATTTGTGAAAAGAAAGACTGGTTTTAGAACCTGACTTAATCTTTACTTCACATTGGATATAATTGAAATCTCCGAAATAATACATTCTTAAACAGTGTAAACCATAGGTATTCTCTACTTTATAATGCCCTGCAACAAATATTTATAATTTTCTTTCACACAGAGCTTACATATATCTTAATAGAATTATTTTAAATCAGGTAAATATGTAAGATGAAATTTTAGAAACCTCTCAAAGAGCATCACTTTGTCTTTTAATATCTAACAATAAAAATAAATCACCATTAGCCAAAATTTTAACAGAATAATACAATTTTTGCCAATACTATTGCATTCATCTCTGCTTGTCATCTATTTTATTCCTTTTGCTTCATATAAATAAGTAAAACTTGTCTTGAATTTTGTAATTGAAATCCTGTTTACTTTTATAGTCTTAATACAATAATTATTTACATTATATTAAGTTTTAACTTTATAAAACATACCATACTTTATTTAGCCATCTTGACATTTCATATTTACTTAACATTTTTTTCTGATTTATGATGCAAAAATTCATAATTTATTCATTGTTACTGCTGTATAGATGCTAAATTATTCAATCTTTTATTCCTTATTAGTTTTACAGGAATGATTTCTTACTGTAAAATTAATACATATACAGTTTGTAAAAGCAATAAGAAAACTTTTAAGAATATCACTAAAAGACTGTGAGACTTTGAATTACTACACTATAATTCACATGACTTTATAATCTCATTAATACTTACTTTTAGGCTTTTATATTCGTGTTTTTACTTATTTGTTAAATGCTTAAAAAATGCACTAAGTTTTTTTTACATGCAACAATATAGGGTAAACTTTATAGAATTTTTTCTGCTAGAAGGGATTTTTTAGAGTTATATATTTAATTTTTCCATTAAAAAGTTAAGAGCATTCATACCCAGAGAGGTGAAGTTGCTGGATGAAGTTTACACAGCTTTTCACCATGTTTTCCAACTGAGTGGTTTAATTTTGTGACTATAATGGGAATTTAGCACAAATTGATTTCTAGTGGAGTGCAATTATGTAAGAGACATTCATCTTGGAAAGCATACAGCGGTTTTGTTTACAGACGCTAGCAATAGAAAAATAATTCTATTCTATTTTGTTTTCTATATTACAGTATATACAATGTGTCCAGAAGCCATTGTTAAATATAGGAAATAATATAGCATACACAGATTTCTTCAAAGAAAACAGATTTTAATCATCTTCTCAAATATTCTGTATTTTTAATTTTCATAAAACCAGCAAGATACATGTTTTTCTAAAATCTCCTTTTTAGACACAAAATTCAATAATTAAATGTGGATGTGAAATTACTTATATTTTGTCTATCTATCATATTTTAAAAGATTAAAATGATTGAATTTGAAAAAAAGTGACTTTTTTTCCCCTAAGGGACTAAAATGAAACAGTATTTATTCATGAGATTTGGCAATGTGTGTCAATATTTTAGATCTGCATTTCTTTCATGTAAAAATTCTACTTCTAGGGCATGAAATTCTCCTAGAATATAAACTATATATTTCTAGGGTATCTCTTAAGAGAGTTATTCTGAGAGGATTCATATTTAAGTGTTCATGCCTGAGTTTTCTGAATAATTCATCTCAAAAAATTTATAAATAATATAATTGAGCAATAACTCAATTCAAATTCTGTTGAATAAAGTGTTTCCAAGGTTTTTTTTTTTTTTTTTTTTGAGTTGGAGTCTCACTCAGTTGTCCAGACTGAAGTGCAGTGGCCGCTCCTGG